TTTTTTTTTTTTTTTTTTTTTTTTGAAAGTTGGTTATTTGTTCATAAGACGGTAACTATAACATTTAGATGAATCACTCTTTACCCCGCTTAAAAATGCAGAACACGTGGAAGTTTTTAGATTTGGGAGGACTATAAACTAAAGTGGGACCCGGGTGAGTATGGAGGGATCAAGGTTGTACGATTTCCAGGGACTGCTGATCATATTTGGCGACCAGATATTTTGCTCTACAACAGGTTCAGTCTTGTCTCACTTTTAATTTCCTTGTTGTAAACATAGCTAAGTCCGTTGATACAAGTGTTAAGCAGTCAGTCTGTTATTTTGTGAAATCACTTATAATTTTTAATACTTATTCTTGTGGCACCTAAACATTCACTACTGTTTACATAGCAGTGGAAAAAGCTTGTGAGGAGCTCATTTTAAAAGCATTAGTTCTTTGTCTATAGGAAAGGTTTTTGAATTTATGTACACTTCTTCATTTGTTTCTTTTTTTCTCTCTCTCACTAATGCTCATACATTTCTACCTATGAAAAAGCAAAAATCAAATGTGATGAACCATTTTCTTCTATTGCTACTAAATTCAGCAAATTGAGGAACTTTTATTGGATTTATCCGACTGTTGCACTCAGTTACTGATTTCAGGAGTTCAATTTGTACGAAAAAACAAAAATTCTTTAGAATAGTTTGCATCATCGCTTTAACCAAGATTTTTCATAGAAGATCATTTTAATCAGACCGGACACAGTCAGTGCTTTAAAAAAACCAGCTGATAATATGTCAGCTAGGTTTGTTGCCTCTGTAGGAAACAAGGAACACCTTAAAGCACAAACCCGCAGGTAAACTGAGGTCGGGAGTGTGAGGGAGAGGTGATGGAGAACTGAAGGGGGACAGGACAAGTGCTTTCAACTTTTCTTCTTCTCTGAGGAATTGCCTATTTGCGACCCTTTGCAAACGTATTTTTCTAAGGCGCAGCAACCTGAAACAGTAACTGCATCTTTACAGACTCAACTGAGAAAAATTCTTAACTATTTTTACTGTGCAGGGAAAGCGTAGGCAAGTCTATTCAGTGATGAAAAACCGTTTTGCATATATCACCTTACAGACAGTCATTGTCTGGAAGTGGTCACCTAACGAGCAGGCAGAAAGAAAGGGGAAAACAGAAAGGACCAAGAGTAGAAGACAAGCGAGGATAAAGAAAAGTGGAGCTGATCAGCAGAACTTTGCCAAGGAATAACTTCTTTATACGATGAAATTTGTTAGACATTGTGGATTTTTTCGAGGAGGTAACAAGACTGCACTAAGCACTAAGCACCACTTAGGAGCTTAATACTAGAGCGGTACCCAGTAAGGTACGCGCTGGAAGTTCACAGAAGTCAAAGGTAGTTCGCACAAGACTTAGCTTGGCCCATTTCTTTTTAGAATCCACTTCACAAGATGGATGCCTGGGTATTTAACAGTGACTATTTCTTGATGAATGTAGTGTCTCAAAAGTTCACAACCCAGAAGCTAAAAAGATCAGAGAAAAAAAACTTCTTTTGCGAGTTTAAATTCTGTTGCCAATTCTGTTGCTTTGTTCTTCATTGACGTTTTTTCCATAGTCAGCAAAAACCAATTCATTTTAGGTTTTTTGTGGAGGAAGACTGCGCGAAAAAAAATGTCTTTTCAAATTTGATAGTTGCGTCTTGAAAGATATTACCAGAAAGTCTTAGCCAAAATGTTTGCAAAAACGCCTGTCTGCCTTTTGAATCCAAATTCAAAAATTACCACCTTTTACCGCACAATTACAGTTGTATTCGTGCCTTATATGAAGCATTGCGCAAAGTATTTTGTTTTTTATTAGATCCAAAGCAATACTGGCAGCTGAAGTAAAGTTGTTTACTGCGAAATGATTAAGTCATTTAAAAGATAAGTTAGGGAGTTTTTAAAATTTACTAGAACTAGGAGAAAGCATATTATTCATGATTTCTTAAAGCCGCCAAAGTCTTAACGATTTTACAGACAATATTTAATAATACTTTCTGTATTAACCAACAAATTCGTCTCTTTAACAATGTATTATTATTAAGCCCCAAGACAGAGTTTCCACAGCTCCAAAGTTGCGATTGAAATGTTCTAGAATTAAAAAAATATAAAATTAGAAGACATCTTGCTTTTTACAGTCCTTTGCACCTCTAAAAATTTTAAGCGCCGACGAAAACTTCGATTCGACATTTAAAAGTAACATCGTTGCCTATCACACCGGAGAAGTTCAATGGATCCCACCTGGTTTACTAAAGTTCAGCTGTAAAATGGATATTACTTGGTTCCCATTCGATGATCAGGCCTGCGTTTTGAAAGTAATTGGTCGTTCAGATAAAATATCTACTTTTATTTTCTCAGAAGTTGTTAGCTCATATTTGCAGTTTGGCTCCTGGACATATTATGGGTCTGATCTTGATCTCGTTATTGACAAAGAGGGCACCAATGAAAGTGAGTTACCTAGAAAACTGATTTTTACTCGAAGCAGCAAAAAGCCATGTTTTTTTGTCCCTGATTTTGCTGATGTTCGAAATTTTCAGCTCATACAATGGACTTAAGCGACTATGTGGAAAATGGCGAATGGAACCTTTTGGCAACACCAGCGTATCGTGAGGTCAAGCACTACAAATGCTGTCCGGAGCCTTACATTAGTCTGCTGTTTACTATGCACCTCCGCCGTAGAACGCTTTATTATGGTACATTTTGAACTGTCCGTCACTGAAAAAGCGGACAACCGTAATAAGATCGTGGAAGTCTAAGTACTTTCTCTTAACGACTAAAGAAAGATTTTTCGCCGTCCCCTCTGTCCCTTTCAGACTACCAATCAAAATTAAAGTGACTCAACCGGTGAACCATCCTTCTTTTGACATTTTGTTAAACCGTGAATTATCCTGCTTAAACAAAACTCACGTTTTTTTAAGACCTACAGGGCACAGAATCATCGTTTGCTTTTCCAGGTTTTAATTTGATAATTCCAAGTTTACTGATCTCATTAATGACTGTTCTCGGCTTTACGCTACCACCTGATGCAGGTGAAAAAATCACACTTGGTGAGTAACGCGGTCCCTTTAATAAAACTGTTTTTTGTTCTGCATCAAACGATCACTACCTCCAGAAGAAACAACCTCTTTTTTGAAAGTTTCAGAAATAACAATTCTGTTATCAGTGTGTTTCTTCTTGAGCATGGTAGCTGACATGACCCCGCCAACTAGCGAAGCAATCCCTTTGCTCGGTTAGTCCTGAATACCTTTCATTAGAAAAAAATGTATGATTGTCAAAAACTGTGGACCTCCCAGTGCACTAATGATAATAAAAAGCAGGTCGTTTTTAAGCAAAAAACTTTAAGACAAAAACAAATTGTTCTTTGACTTCAAAAGGCAGCTAAAAGGTAGTCGGTAAAAATACATTTTTAGGAGCATTTTTTTCTTGCTGCATGCTGGTTGTCTCGACATCTGTTGTCTTCACAATAGTGGTTTTGAATCTCCACTTTAGAAATCCGGAAACACACGTTATGACTCCGCTCGTATGATTTCATTTTTTAATGTCATTTTGTATTGTAAAGGAATTGAATGGCAACCAGATATGCTGAATACAAAGAACATCTACTGAACTGAAGTGCTCAAATGAAGATTTGATCTTTGCAGATTAACGAGTGAATTTGCACGTAATCTTCTGTTATAAAACTGATGTTTAAGGTCAGAAAGATATTACTGGAGTGGTTACCATGGCTGTTGATGATGTCAAGGCCAGGAGTAACATACAGAAGAGGAAAAAGCTTAGAACTTACATTTTCGCAGTCAAAACCGGAAGAACCTGAACCAGTCGATACGACCACTTTCTCAGAAGAAAATGCAAGCGAACTGCAAATTATCCTGTTACATCGAGTCTACAGTGAGCTGAAGGAGGTATTGAAATCTTTAACTTTCGTAAGCAAAAGCGAAGCCACATCTCATGATCCCGCAATTTTGGGTATGCTGGTTATATTTATAGGGTGTAGCGAACAATTATCTTCCAATGATTTCAGATAACTCAAAGGATGAAGGATGAAGAAGAGGCTGAAAAGCTGCAAAACGACTGGAAATTTGCTGCGGTTGTTGTAGACAGAGCTTGCCTCGTTTGCTTCTCTGTATTTATAACATTATCTGCTTGTGGCATTATACTTAGTGCTCCACATTTGACGGCATGAAATATTTCTTTCGTAATAAGCTTAAAGTACAAGGTAAAAAATGTGTTACCAGACTGCAAAACCTTAAATACAAATTACCTTCAGGTTTAAAAATCTTTTGGTTATTGATATTCGAGAACAAATAGAACTTCGAAATTTTCTTCAATGAAAATTTATTTCCGAATATACTTCGCTGACCCGCTCATTCTTCTACAGTACGCTTAAAAAGTACACTACAACTCAAATTTTAACAGAGAGGAATCGAAGTCGTCACTTGCAACTACAGCAGAAAAAATAATCTAGCGAGATCAGATGTCAATAAAATGCTGAAGTCGCTAACTTTGGGTAGTAATGCAAGCAATTAGTGAACATTGTTGGCGTCCCAAGTACATAAAAACTCAAAATTAAAAATTGTAAATACTCACATGGGTACAACAACAACATGAGCCTGGAGAAAATAAGGATCAAACCCCCATACAAAGTACTTGAACCAAACCGTCATCAGATCCAACGGCTAAATAATCTGGTTTCTTGGGGTTCCAGTGAAGACAGTTGATGTCCGCACGCCGCCATTTTACCGAGTAAAGTTCTTCAAACGTTTCAGCTCCTTTGCTGCTAAGGACTCGAAAAATCCTAAATCACTCTATCTGTCGCAACGAGCATTTAAAACAGAATTCAGAGAAACTAAATATCAGCTAAAAAGTATCACCTGTTTAATTCTTAAAAAATTAAATCACCTTAAGAAACTATCCCCTCCTCCGACAGCTAAAAGGCCACTAATTTTACTCCATGAAACAGTATACAATGGCCACCTTTTAGTCACCTGATGTTCAATTACTTTCTCCCATTTGCTCGTTGCCACAGAAGTGCCGTTCCAACAGTTACTCCAAATCTAGAAAAAAAATCTCTTTCAAATGCTAAAAAAATTATTCGATAGAGATGATGGAAAATAGGACAACTAGTAAGGAATGAAGAAGGAAGTCTAATAAATATTATAGAGTTAAATGCAATATAGCCATTCAGCTCTCTAAAATATCATTCAATAGCGGGGTTTTGACTTCCTAGTCACATCCCCAGAAAACGGTTAAAAAAACAGACACCTTGATAATACCATCAGCACCAACTGTAGCTAATGCTTTGCCGTCATCTGAAAAATCGCAACACCAAACAGTTGAGTCATGGGCATTTTCAATACGCTGTTGGACTATCCACTCATCTCCATCTAATCGGTAAAAAACTATTGAACAGTCGTAACTGCACGAAACAAGACACTAAAGGGATTATAATGTGCACAACACGAAGTGAACTAACATTCTTCAAAAAAATTTCAGTCATTATTTAAAGAAGGTGAGGTCCAGAAAGTACAAAAAGATCGGCAATTTGTAAAAAAAATATGTGGCACCTCCTCGTAAGGATGCCACTTCACAAATTTCACATCCTGCGTATGGGGTTGTAAGATAGAAGCCACCGTTAAATCTTCCTCTTCATCCACTAAAAAATATAATAATAATAACAAGGACGCTGTACATTTGAAGTTTTATAAAAATCTTAAATTAACCAACTCTGCCAGAACCAAACTGTTTTATCGCGACTGCAGGAGGCCAAATATTCCGCACTGGGAGAAAATTCGCAGCATTTAATTTCACTTTCCTGACCTTCTAGTTTGTTCACCTCTTCATAATCACCACTACAATATTAGCTGTCGTATTCACTAACCAAGTGCAAAACTGAAAGACATTTCGAAGGCTCGATTAGAAAACCAAAAGTTTACCCTCAACCATTAAGAAACCAGGAATAACCTGTTTAGTTTATACACAACTATACAACTATCAAAACCAGCAGACGCCAAATAGCGATCGCAAGGGGAAAATGATACTTTTCGGACAGCGCGCTGATGTGACCCCTGCAACGACGATTCCCGCTGCAAACAGCAACTGT